TAATTGCCATCTGTAGCTGCCTGGGTGTCTCCTAGCATGAATGTTTTTGTTTTTGCCTTGCTGCATTCTGAGGCCTCAAGTCTCCTAGTGATTATGTGGGATCTGAATAAAGGGGAGCACTGAAGGAAGAACCACCTTTATCTTTTGTTATTTCGATATTCTTTCCCTTTGATGCAGCCTGAAAAGACGTGTGCCTGTCTTTGCACTTTCAGGGGCTGATGGTTTTCACAGACGCATTCTTTTGGTTCCTTTAATTGTCTATGGTGGTGATCCACTGTAGAAAAGTTCATTGTTCACATTCTGTAAACATCTGTGATAAGAGTAGCGGTAGGGAGCGATCACTAATGCTGACTGGGAAGGAAGATATTTTTTTCTCACATCTTTTCTATTGCAGAAATTTCAGATTAATGGTTGTGTCCCAAATACAGTTTGATTGTTTTATATTCTGCATCCATTTCTGCCTGTGGAGATGTATCCTGTCTGACGATCAGGATTACGATGTTGGAAACAAAATAGTTTGGCTAACATCACACCATATCAACTAGGAATAGAATTAATTGGCTCTTTGTTCCCATCTCTAAACACTAGAGCACCCTTCCTCACATCGAAAGGTGAAGGCAATTGCCTAGCCTGATTTTTTTTTTTTAACTTGTGTCTTAAACATTCCCAATGTTTCGCCATTACAAAGCCACACAGCAGTGAGATACTGCAGTGATGGATGTTCTGTATAGATATCCTAGCCTGTTAGGAGCCCATCATTATCTTCAGAAACCCATAACTTTTGAACTGTATAGTTATGGCAGGACCACACACACACAGTCCATTTTCCACTGCCTGCCCCTGTGTCAAAACACTAATATCATGGATGTAAAGGGAAACAACATTTTCTCATGAACAAAAATAACCCAGAAACTTCAGTGAGGAAGCTGTTCTTATACATCACTCCTTCTAAAATCCTCGCTGCTAGACAATATCCTTCAGTTAATGAGGCAGCATATCCTAAATGATTGTGCATGGAATATGAAGTTGGGAGCATTTGATTCTAATCTTGTCTCTAATGCTTGCTGTATGTCCTCAGGCAGGTCAAGAATATCTAAATTTTCCCAAGTTTTCTCTGACTTTTAGGGTGCTTCAGTTTTTTTGGTGCTCAACTGGTGTCTCTAGCAGCCTGGTTTTTCAGAGGTATTAAAGGAGAAAAGGGGCAGATAGACTGCAGGGCCAGCTCCAGGCACCAGCCCAGCAAGCAGGTGCTTGGGGCGGCCAACGGAAAGGGGCAGCAGGTCCAGCTCTTCGGCAGCGAGTCCCTCTCGGAGGGAAGGACCTGCCGCCGAATTGCCGTCGCAGAATAAAGCGGCGGCGGTGAGGTGCCGCTGAAGTGCTGCCGATCGCGGCTTTTGCTTTTTCCCCCTCACCACTTGGGGCAGCAAAAACACTGGAGCCGGCCCTGGTAGACAGAGATGAATTACTACAGGGTGGCAAGTGGCAAAGGCCAGCACAAGGTCTGGTAATAAGGAGGCTAAGCCGTGAAGAGCTGGAACTAGAAATAAGTATCTCTAAATGTAGAAGCATAGGTGCTGGAACTAGGGATGCTGGGGGTGCTGCTACACCCTCTGGTTTGAAGTGGTTTCCATTATATACAGAGTTTACCATTTGGTTCAATGAGTCTCAGCACCCCCACTATACAAATTGTTCCAGCACCCTTCCGTAGAAACCTTCATTAAAATTAAGTGTGGTGGCAGGAGCAGCAAATGTATTCGTTCATTTTTCTTATGAAAATCGACAATTGGCTACCAGTCGGCACAAAGCATGAACACTCAGGTGAGATTCCTCCACACAGTGCTCAGCTAGTGTGCCCAAATCCTTCCTGTCCCTTCTGAGAGTAAAGATAGTCTCTCTTCCTGCGCATGCTCACTTTTTCTACCTCTCCCCTCTCCCCCCGCCTCTTTAAATTTAAAAGAAAGGAGGTATGGTTGTATCACGTGGCTCTTCAGAAGTAAAGATGCTCCAGTTACCAAAATCATTTGGAGTGATCTCCGCTTTTTAGGGATCCATCTCAGGGGAAAAGTGTGGAGTTCTCAGCTTGTTACTAATGGCTTTCAAGCTCCTGCAGTTTCATATCCAGTTTAATAAAGCCCTTGGATGATTGGCAAGACTTCCACCTCCCATGTCTCAACATCCTCTTCACTTTCCTGACAGGTCTCCAGGAACACGAGACTGCTTGGTTACAGTGCGGAATTGTCTACCTCCCACTTTCCCAGTCTATCCACCCGGAGAGGCCAGCAGCACTTGTTAACTTAAAAATAGGAATTGTACCAAATGCCTTGGTAAATAGTAACTAAATGAACAGAGATCGCAGATTGGAGGTAAGGGTGGAGGGGACTAGTCCAAAGACAGTTCAGGATGAGACCACACTGAACCTAAACCCCATCAGTGTGTTACGTGGTGCTGTGCTGGGAGAGGCATCATCTTTTGAGTGAGAAATTCTGTTGAGGGCCTGGCCATTTGTCATTTTAAAATTCTGTAGTCCCTTCTGCATAGTTGCTTTTAGATCCCAGTGGCCTCACTACATTCCCATCTAGGTAATTGTTTTGCCTACCTGTATCTCCCATGATAGTTTCAGCTGGGTATAAGATTTTTTCATTTCCCCCCTCAAATCGCACTCTCAGTTGTGTTGCTGTATCCTGGTGACTAGTTACCAGCTTTCACGTCAGAAATAGCTGTTGTTATTAAATGTAAAGTGTTAAATGTGTTTTCTAGGGAAAGTGTTATATAATGGCTGGAGCAGGAAACTAGGTGTCAGTTCTAAAGTTCTGCGGAGGACTGTGTGTGTTCCTGGACAAGCCACTTAAACCTCTCTGTGCCTCCGTTTATTCCTCTTTAAAATGAGGATAAAGTTTCCCTCACAATGTGGGGATTGAGGCTTCATTGTTTGTAAAGAGTCCAGCAACCAGTCATTGAATATGCTATGGAAGTGCCAAGAATGATTATAAAAAACAGAATACAATAGCAATTACTATATAAGAGATTTGAAATTCTAAATCATAGTTGCATGCTGTAAATCACCTAGTTTTAGTGTTCTATTTTTAAAGTGCACACGTGTGTATTTTAATATATATGAAATGTTCATTTCTGAAGTAGTTACTGCCCCATTGTTAATGGTTACAGATTTTGCAGTGAGACGTGTCTCACCGATCATTAGTATGTTCTCTGCTCTTACATTAGCAGAAGAGGAGATGCTTTGTTTGTTGTTCTTCACTTCATAACAAATTCTAGAGGGCGTTTCCCCCCTTTATTTCTCTCTCTCTTTCTTTCTAAAACTATTTTGTTTTCCTTATGACTGTTTTTGTTTGTTTGTTTTAAAAAAAAAGTAGTAGTCTTTCTGTGGTTTGAAATTGAGAGACGGCAAAATTTGTTGGTAAAATATTTTAAATTATGCTCTAATATTAAGAAGTTGCAGATGAAAATTATATGTATTTCACTAATTTTCTCTCCTGCATTCGTACATGTGCACTCTTGTAGCATTGATTGAGGGATGATTAATTAAAACTTTAAAATACCATACAATTTTGAGAAATACCTGCTCAAAAATGTGTGTGTGTGTGTGTGTGTGTGTGTGTGTGTGTGTATACGTAGTATACTTACCACCTAATGCATCTCAATCATTCACTCATTCATCCCTCAATCTTTGTGTAAAATACAACTATACACTCTCACATTCACTTTTTAAAGTGGTCAAAGCTATGCTGTAAACATAAAATAGGCAACACCAAGTGAAAATTATTCTTACACATGCATCTTTACCTCAAGCTGAGTCTGTAGAAAGAATAATGAATGAACTTCATTAGGACTTTATATTACCTCTGTCGCTGTGGTATTCATCTCATAAATGGTACTTATATGACCACTTCTCCCTTCAACCAATAATTAACCTCTGCTGCGGCCTCTATGAATGTTCCAGATCCATGGGCACTTTCAAATAGCCACCATTTGAAAAGAAAAAAAAATTCCAGAGGAATGTTTCCTATATTCACTCCAAACTTGCACTGGTCTAAGGTACAGAAATATACAGTTCTATACCCATGACATATTTAAGGTGTGATAACATGTGACTCATTAGGGCTAGAAATGTGGGAAAGGGAGATTCCTAACAGTCCAGTGGGGATATACAGCAGTTCATTTATTATATAGTATCTATTATAATTTTTTACAGCATGTATCCATAGCATTAGGTGCCTAGTACTGGCTCTGGAAGGTCCTGTTATATTGGACATTAAAATCACGATATTAATGTGCATTTGGAAAAAAAAAGTATAAGATTCTAAAACATTACTTTCAATATTTTTCCTCTTTGAGAAATTTCCCAATAATGTGGGATTTAGGATATTAAAGTAGCCTGGTTTTACAGATGGAGGAACACAAAAAAATAGTCTCACCCAGTCAATATGTATTTCTAAAATAGCTGTTCTATAAACGTGGTACATGAAGAATGTATGATGATATGGTGAGATGTTACTCTAATAACTCACTCAAGGCTTTGGCAATAGGGCATAGGAGTAGACTAGACCAAGTGTCTGAGTGCCTCCCAAGCATTTAAAAAGAGAGAACAGTAGCACTGGTGAAGTGCGGTGGTGTTCCCAAACTCATTCTCATAAACCTCCATACTGCACCCTCATGTTCTCATTCTCTGTGCAGGGAGGATGTGCAGTGGTTAGGGCATTAGCTTAGGACGTGAGAGAACTGGGTTCAGTTACTGCCCCACCTCCGTTCTCTTGGGCAGGACATTTAGTCTCTCTGTGCCTCAGTTCCCCATCTGCAGAACAGCGATAATAGCACTTTTTCCTAGGTCACGGGGGTGTTGTGAGGACAAATTCATTAAAGATAGCCAGGTGCTCTGCTACTATAGCAAGTTGGGCCATAAGTACTATAGATAATGGACGCTGAGAAATCCACGGATGCCTGCCTCCTTTAAAGCCTTTTCATTTCTTTCACTTGTTGCACAGATCCAGTCCATGGACCGCAGAGTATGGAAGTTGTTGACATCCGCTCCCGGCAGCTGACCTTGCAATGGGAGCCCTTTGGTTACGCAGTGACCCGTTGCCACAGCTACAACCTGACAGTCCAGTACCAGTACGTGTTTAACCAGCAGAAGTACGAGGCAGAGGAACTCATCCAGACATCCTCACATTATACCTTGCGAGGCCTTCGGCCCTTCATGACCATCCGGTTGAGGCTAGCACTTTCTAATCCAGAGGGCAAAATGGAAAGCGAGGAGCTGGTGGTACAGACTGAAGAGGATGGTAAGAAAATGTTTTGTTTTTTATTTTAATATTTATTTTTTCATGGTTCAAAGTTCTAAGTAACTGTTTGGGGGGAAAATGACTTGGTAAAAATGGCATTGTGGGCTTGGAGGTGGTGTCTCATCAATTCCGTATCAGATTTCCTTGGGCTGCAATTAAAATAGAGATTATATATATTTACCTACTTTTCATGGCGTGGATAATGTTTGTAAAGCACTGTGAAGCTGCAAGTAATATTCATGTCTGCCAGTCAGCAGCAAAGGGCCCAATTCTGGGAAGTGTTGGGTGCTAAACTCTCAGTGCGCCCCCCCCTCCCCCAGACAAACTTCTCCAGTCCCATGGCTTATTTTATTTATTGTAGGGGAAGCTGGTTAATCTAATAGCTCAAACAGTATAAATGTGTGCTGCAGTGCCAAAGACTCAGCGTTCAAACCCCACTGATACCTGCGCTTGTTACGAGTTTATATAACAGAATTTTACTGTCTTCCCTTAACAAAAAACAAAAACAAAACCCACCACCCTAGGAAATTATATACCAAATGTGATAAAGAACGTTATTTAGGTTGTAGAGTCAGGCATTCAAGTTAAGAAATTTGAGATTTATGGTTGCGTGTCCAACATTAATTCTGCCACTTTGTGCATATGCCTTATAATGCAGCCTTTAATTAGAGAATCACACGCTGTCTTTTCCACAGGGGTCTGCCCTCATTCAATGCGCAGGTTAGCGGCGTAGAGGACCAGAATGAAGGTTCCATAGGCAACTGCAATTCTGACACTTGCAAACTTTTGAGTGCTTAACTTTCCAACCTAAATAACATTTTAATATAGCTTTTTGTACATAATGTAATTTCCAGAATGCACCTTTTTCCATAATTCTGGACATTCCAGGTCACACAGTGTCCTAACATATCATGTACACCTATTATGCTAAATTAATGAGGCCAGATTCTGCCACTCTTGTTCCATAAGAAGTGCTTTGAGGATGTATTATTATTTATTGATATTTGTATTATTGTGTCGCTTAGGTAGAGTGACCAGATGTCCCCATTTTATAGGGACAGTCCCGATATTCGGGACTTTTCCTTATACAGGTGCCTATTACCACCACACACCCCCCTTCATCCCGATTTTTCACACTTGCTGTCTGGTCACCCTACGCTTAGGCATCCCAGGACCCCAATGTGTGAGGCGCTGTACAAACACAGAACAAAAAAGACAAGAAACAAGATACAAGAAAACGATGAGACAGTATTGGTCAGCATGGGAAGCAGTGGTCTCAGCACACCAGCAGTCAATCATTGTCTAGTTTTTTTTGTAGACCTCAGACAAAGGAGAATTTGAAGGAGGATAATGTTGTAGTGTTGTGGTTGTTTACAGGCAGCTTCTTCCAAGCATGAGGGGCAGCATGGGAGAAAACACAAAGGTGCTTGTTTTGAGCATTTAATGTGGGCAACGGAGACTGAAATCATGGGCCAATCAGAAGCAGGAGTAGGATTACCCGGTGACCATTTTTCGTCTGGAACACCTAGTTGAAAAGGGACCCTGGCAGCTCCGGTCAGCACCGCTGACTGGGCCATTAAAAGTCCGCTCGGTAGCACAGCAAGGTTAAGGCAGGCTCCCTGCCTGTTGTGGCTCTGTGCAGCTTCCGGAAGCAGCAGCATGTCCCCCCTTCTGCTCGTAGGCATAGGGGCAGCCAGGGGGCTCTGCGTGCTGCCCCCACCCCAAGCACCAGCTCTGCCGCTCCCATTGGCTGGGAACTGCAGCCAATGGAAGCTGCAGGGCTGGCACCTGCAGATGGCGCAGCACGCTGCGCCTCCACGTAGAACCGGTATGGGGACATGCTGCTGCTGCTTTTGGGAGCTGCTTGAGGTAAGCGCCACCCGGAACCTGCACCCCTGACCCCCCTCCTGTGCCCCAACCCCCTGCCACAGCCCTGATCCTCCTCCCACCCTCTGAACCCCTTGATCCCAGTCTGGAGCACACTCCTACACCCTAAACCTGTCATCCCTGGCCCCTTGCCACAGCTCAACCCCCAGCCAGAGCACTCACCCTTCCCGCCGCACCCCAAGCCCCTGCCCTAGCCCAGAGCCCTTCCTGTACCCTGAACCCCTCATTTCTGGCCCCAGCCCAGAACCCATACCCCCTGCCTCAGCCCGGAACCCCCTCCCATACTTCAAACCCCTTGGTTCCACCCCCCAGCCCAGAGCCTCCCCCTGTACCTCAAACCCATCATCCCCAGCCCCACCCCAGAGCCCACACCCTCAGACGGAGCCCTCACCCTCTCCCACATCCCAACCCACTGCCTCAGCCCGGAGCACCCTCCTGCACCCTGAATTACTCATTTCTAGCCTCACCCCGAAGCCCTAACCCCTTCCTGCACCCAATCCCCCTGAGACAGCCTGGTGAAAATGAGCGAGCGACAGAGGGCGGGGGGATGGAGTGAGTGAGGACAGGGCCTCGGAGGAGGGGTGGGGCAAGGGTGTTCGGTTTTGTGCGAGTAGAAAGTTGGCAATCCTAGTCAGTAGTCAACTTTTGAATACTGAATGAGTGATGATAGGTTATGAAGGGCCTTGAAAGTGAAAACAAGCAGCTTATATTTGATACAATAGAAGAGATTTTAAGGCCAGAAAGGACCATCATGATCATCTATTCTGATCTCCTGCATGTTGCAGGCCATAGAACTGTCGCTGAATTACTGAAGTCCTGAAATCATGATTTAAAGGCTTTAAATTACAGAGAATCCACCATAAGAGATGGTGCCAGTAAACGGATTCAAAAAGAAGGATGACATGTCCAAGCGATAGGCTAGGAAAATTATCACGAAATTATTAAGCCTGTCACAGTTCAGGGTATCAGCACCTGTACTTCCCCTCAGTGGTCAAGCAAGGGCACCCACCTTGAGGCTTCTGGATCCCTGGGTCATCGCCTCTCTTATGTGGAGAGACGTGTCTCTCTCCTTTGTGACCAGACTGAACAGTTCCCCGCCTTCACTATGTTATTCCCAGCAAAAGATAGACTGCCTAAGCAGACCTGCTTGCTTTCTCTTCATAGACTAACAGTGTAAATCCTCACAGGTAAGCTACTACACAGCTTTTTCTGTGCAACCTCATTTACTCTTAGGTTAAAAGCGTCACAGAGAAAATAATAAAAGAACCTACCTGCATGCTAATAAGCTTATCAGAGATCACCCCCAAATCTACTATGGTGATTAGTCCTTTCAAACCCTACAGAGGGATCTCTGTTGTGGTAACAAGTTCATAAGAGCCTGAGTTCAGAACTCATGAAAAGTTTAGTCCCTCCTTTATACAGTGGAAGGTGTTCTTTGATCTGGAGTTTCCAGGAACAGGTGATCAGTAGGCAATGGGTTTTCCAGGCATCACTTCAAAAGGCCTCACAAGGACCTCCTAGGAAACCCACTTCACACATTGTCCCAAACAGTTCTTTAAAGTTCCAAGCATTTCCACAAGCTTTCCATTAATCAGTCTCCCTGAAAAGTTATACCCAATTCTACAGTGCCACATAAACAATTGTATTTTTACTACAGTGGATCCCAAAGGTATTAAACAATAAGGTTTAACTAAATTCAGTAGGGTTTGTCCAGGATATTGCAGGAAATTTCCCTCTGTCACAAAGCCACGTTAGCTGAGACTCAAACTAAGAGTCCTTATGGGCTGCAAGCATCCACTCTATCTAATGGGATATAAGGAAGCATCTTTCCCTTGCCTGAGCTATTAGGCACTGCTGAGCTAAATTTCTCTGTGATGAAAGTGGCTCCGGCATTACAGTATATCACACAGGGAAGTCCAGGAGATGGCGGACCTTTCTATTAATTCAGGGAAATGATCAGAGTTTTTGTCAGACAGGACTGGGAGTGCATTTGGTTAGTTATCTTTCACAGCATTAGAGTTTTGCTTGAGTAGATGGATTTTTAGTGGCTTTGTAAACATAATGAAAGATAAATCTTAAATTGTTACTCTGCTGGGGAAATCAGCCTTTCATATTGATAAAGGTGAACAGCCCTGGAGCAGCTCTATGCCAGGGTTCAATCTACCTATCTGTGTAGATAGAGTTTTAGTGTTGTGTGGGTGAAAGAGGAGGGTACATTAAATTCTCCACTGGATTTTATTATTCCTTGATGTTGTAACCAAAATGTTAGAACATTGGTGCTATTTAACTTATTCCTCTCCTCTTTTTCCTTGTAGGGTTCTATATAGGGTACATTTCCCTGCACAGACTTGTTAATTCACCATATTGGGTGGCACAGTGGTAAATGCACAAGACCTACACTAAAGGAAAATACAAACACCTGTACTGCAGACTGGTAACCTTAGGGAGAGAATATAGTGGGCCCATAAAAATGAGGGTCTGGTGCCTCTGCCATTGTTTTCTGCAGTGTCTGTGCTAGCCACTTCATGTAGCATCCTAAGATATTGTGCATTCCATCTCTATTGCTCCTGGACAGAGATTATGAGCTGTGGTGATGGTCAGTAGGTCTGGGAGATCAGTGGATCTTTGAAAAGGTATTGGGAGAAGGGGAGGTTACATGAGGAAAACAATTTCTGATGAAGACCATGCAAGTGTTCTGTCTTCTCTAATTCTTCCAGGCCCCCCTTCCAAGGGCAAAATAGTTTTGTTTTCCTAAAAGGGAAAACCCTGCTCCCTCCCCTGAATGTGGAGCTCATCAAATGCATTGGAACCAGGGTTGTTCTGCTGCACAGGCAGCAAGAGTTATTGAAGCCATACAGGGGTATATATCTCCTGGATGAAGCACAGTTCTGTGAGTCAGATCTCTGTGCTGTCCTACAAGGATTTTGAGGTGTGGGGAAGCATTGGAGGAGGTGTGATAGATCCATCACTGTGCAGTTGCACTAGTCATTGCCTCATATGATAAAGAGGTATGGCTACTGTGGGAGCTATTGCAACCTCACAGCTTCAGTGGGAACTGTGGAGTGGTTTGGCGTAGCTGTTCTATGACACCAAAGGGTGTTTCTTGGGCAGTGCACTGATTTCCAGGAATGTAACCAAAGTGCACAAATGGAGAATCCAAGGGTCTATGCATGTGTCTTATTTGTGTCTGAGCCATAATCCTATATAATATGTGGTATACTCTGGACCTCATATGTACTCTTACAGCTGCAAACTCTCACAGCTATATGTCAGAACAGAACTTGGCCCTAAACGTCTTCAGTTCACCACCTCATTTCTGGAGACCAACTCTCCTCAATCTCCTGGCCTCTTATGCCCACTGAACACTTTGTAATCTTGAGGAGACAATCCTTTCTCCTATAAGTCCTTCTGTACTTTTCCCTGTCTACTGTTTATGCAAGATACTAACACTCTTTTGTGTCTGTTAGCCTCAAGCATGCTGAACCAACTTGTCCAGAGATGGCACACTTATTTCAAAGTTCCTTGTTCGAGGTTTTCAGGAGAACTTGCAATATTCCTTCATTCTTTCTTCCACTTAGTAAAATGGAGCTCATGTGAGGTTCTTTCCATCAGTCAATGTTTACTCAGATAGTACTATTTTTAAAGTTTTTTCCATGTCCCCTGCTCTCCCTCCCACTGAGTGTTAGTAAAACATCTGGTCTAGGGGAGTCTAATCTCTCAAACACATCAACCCCGCCTCCACCAGTATGCCCACTTAAACGAGCCAAAATGTGATCAAACCAAACTGGAGGTGTCATAGCCTTTCATGTGATACTGCCGAGAGAGAGGTGTGGTGTGAGCAAGCTGGTGACCAGATACTACAGTTGTCCGTCTCCCACCAGTTGGTTGGACAAACTGTACAGCTTCTCAATCTGAGCAGCTTAATAGGAAGTTACATCTCACATTTGGATGCGGTTATTGCTGCTTAGGTGTTGTGACAGACCCAGACAAGTGGGGTACAGGAGTCTGGTAGAGGACAAATATACTGGTCACTGGATGAGTAGTTTTCTGTTCCCTGAGTGACCAGAGCAGGGTCTGCACTAGAGTAATCAGGAACCTGCTAGAACCAGTTAAGGCAGGCAGGCTAATTAGGACACCTGGAGCCAATTAAGAAGAAGCTGCTAGAATCAATTAAGGCAGGCTAATCAGGGCACCTGGGTTTTAAAAGGAGCTCACTTCAGTTTGTGGCGTGAGTGTGAGGAGCTGGGAGCAAGAGGCGCAAGGAGCTGAGAATGAGAGGGTGTGCTGCCGGAGGACTGAGGAGCACAAGCGTTATCAGACACCAGGAGGAAGGTCTTGTGGTGAGAATAAGGAAGGTGTTTGGAGGAGGCCATGGGGAAGTAACCCAGGGAGTTGTAGCTGTCATGCAGCTGTTACAGGAGGCACTATAGACAGCTGCAGTCCACAGGGCCCTGGGCTGGAACCCGGAGTAGAGGGCGGGCCCGGGTTCCCCCCAAACCTCCCAATTGTCCTGGACTGTGGGTTCTTCCAGAGGGGAAGGTCTCTGGGCTGTTCCCCAACCCACATGGTGAATCTCTGAGGCAAGAAAAATCCGCCAATAAGCGCAGGACCCACCAAGATAGAGGAGGAACTTTGTCACAGTGTGTAATGCAGGAACTCATGTGCCTGCATACCTAGTTGAGTGTCCAGGTGTGGGATTTGGACATACGACTGAAGTGGCCATGGCTAACAATTGTCCTTCCTTTGTTTACCCTCTTTACGACATCTTATACTTAAATCATGACCCTACTCGTCAATAGGCTGCAGCTTTGCAATGTGAGCCAAATGGGAATCTCTCTCTCTTACTCTTGAATACGGCAAATCTTAATCTTCCTTCTGGGGAATCTTCACCACAGCAGAAAGGAGTGGCTCTTGAATGTGTTCTCCATTGTCTGGCTGTCATCGGTAGCTGCATTTCTTGTGCACCAAGTTGAAGACAGTTTAATTTTTTGTGAAGCCAGAGCTGATCCTTAAATACTGACTGTAGCAAAAAACAAAACAAAATGAAAACACTTCCTGTTGCTGATACATAAACAAAGATGTCCATCCGTTAAAGAAGAGAAAGATACAGCTGTGCAATATCAGTCCTTCATACTGGGTATTTCCTTCCATCATAGCTTCACTCAGTGATTTGAAAGTGCCTGGTTTAATTATACGTCAATGTCCAAAAGACAAGGAAGATTGTAGTAGTTAGCATTCTGCCTGTAAATACATTTTAAGAATAAAATTATGAAGTGAATAACTTTATTCCTAGAACTCAACCAGAAAGTGCACACAGAGCAAAAGGGGAAGAAAAGGAACCCATTAAAGAATTGTTTGTGATGATGATGGAAGATTACCTCAGACAGGAAACAGGAGATAAGATAGGGAATAAAATTATCCAAAAGGCTGGGAAGAAAAGAAGAAAATTTGGCTTAGCTCATTTATTTACATCTTAAAGGAGGTCTTCATGGCTCAATCCCTAGTTATTTTAGGTTGGTTTTGCTTGTACACAAAACAGAACTCTTATGCTATTTTAAACTCAGTGGCATACCAAAACAAATAAAGCATGAATCCTGCTATATCTGATGCTTTAAACACAAATCCATTACACTTTTGAGACAAATGACTCCTACAGAGTACTTAAGCAAATCTTATATAAACAAATATTTACTGGCACTGTCATCTAAGGTTTAAGACAATGTGCTGTTGAAGTAAAGCTTGAAAGGTTAGATCAGTATGTGTTGACCCAGCAACAACAGTAGGGGTGTTTATTGTTGTGCCTCCTGAATTATGGGTCACCTAGTCCAGTAAGCAGAGTACCAAACTGGGTTTTGTTCTCAGCTCCATCACTGATTTTCTATGTGACTTAAAGTTATTCAGCTTCCAATTCTGCAGTGGATCCATGTGAGCAGTATTGCGATCTAAGCATGTTTGTGCCTCAGTTACCACTTCTGTGAAGTGGGGATAATATTGTTTAATCATTTCTGTAGAGAGGGCTTTGGTGAAAGTACTTTGTAAGAGCTAAATATTACTACAGTAGAACCTCAGAGTTACGAACACCAGAGTTACAAACTGACCAGTCAACCACATACTTCATTTGGAAACAGAAGTATTACACCGGGGTGGGCACACTACGGCACTCGGGCTGGATCCGGCCCCTCAGGGCTTTGGATCCGGGCCGCGGGATTGCCCCCTGTGGCGTTGCGGGCCCCGCAACGCTCTCACAAGCGGCCGGCACCACATCCTTGTGGCCCCACTCCTTGCATTGCCCTTGCCTCCAGGCCCCGCTCCCCGCAGCTCCCATTGGCCGGGAACAGGGAACTGCGGCCAATGGGAGCTTTGGGGGAGGTACCTGGAGGCGCGGCAAGGGCAGCGCATGTGGAGTCCTCCGTCCCCTCTCCCCCAGAGGCCGCAGCGCTTCCTAGAGCAGCGCGGGGCTGGGAAAAGGGCAGGCATGCAGGGAGCCTGCCCTGGCCCTGGTGCATGCCGCTGCCATCCTGGAGCCGCTTTAGGTAAGCGGCGCCGGGCTGGACCCGAACCCCTCCTGCCCCCTGCCCCCCAACTCCCTGCCCTAAGCCCCCTGCCTGCACATCGCACCTCAACTCCCTGCCTTGAGCCCCCTTGTACACCCCGCACCCCAAGACCCTGCCCTGAGCCCCCTGCTGCACCCTGAACCCCATGCACCCCAAGACCCTGCCCTGAGCCCCTGCTGCAGTCTGCACACCTACTCTGAGCCCCCTCCTGCACTCCGCAGCCCTCCTGCACCCCAACCCCTTCCGAGCCCCCTCATACACCCTACACCCCTCCTCTGCCCCAATCCCTTGCCCTGAGCCCCTTCCTGCACACCACGCCCCCTCTCACACCCAGCACTCCCTCCCGTACCCCAACCCCCTGCCCCAGCCCTGCATACAATTTCCCCATCCAAATGTGGCCCTCGGCCCAAAAAGTTTGCCCACCCCTGTACTACACAATCAGGAAGCAGCAGAGACAAACAAAACAAATAAACACAGTACAGTACTGTGTTAAACGTAAACTACTACAAAAATAAAGGGAAAGCAGCATTTTTATTCCACATAGTAAAGTTTCAAAGCTGTATTAAATTAATGTTCAGTTGTAAACTTTTTAAAGAACCATAACATTTTGTTGAGAGTTATGAACATTTCAGAGTTACGAACAACCTCTGAGGTATTTGTAACTCTGAGGTTCTATGTATTATGACTGTATGACACAAGTTGCTATATTTGAGGCTATGTTAAATCATGCACACTTGTTCAATTTATTTTTATTTAAGGAATGTATTTTTATTGTCTTAATATGTAAAAGAAATGAGGTAAGTTGAAAAATAAAAAATACACATTTAATAACAAAATGAAATATCTATAGATACCTGGATATGTGATAAATGGTACAATTATAAATGCATAATTTCTTTGCAATAGAAGTAGGCAATTTCTTGCATGATCATGTTGGGGATAAGGAAACCTGGGGTCTGTGCAGATATACAAACAAAGCACTAGCTGGTAATACATAAAGTTGCTATTTGTATCTTCTATAACCTCTGATTCTGTGATAAATACACTCAATAAGTTGCCTCTGTCATGCTGATGGAGCTAGGTATGGTGGATCACTGAAACATTGGAAGATAGCAGCGACTTTACATTAGAGTGTGTTTGTTGTTAATATTCAGTACATGAGTTTTCATGTTTGGACCCCAAGGTCAAGAATGGACCAATAGTAATGGGTACTAATACCTTTTTAAATGTTCCCGTTTGGCCCAGAGTGTATATTTTCTCAGCTCTAGAGCACCATTGCTGGAAGACTTTAGCCTCTCTGGGATACACATGAGACTGTTGTGGAGAGTTACTGACTTTCCACTCTGTTCCTTTATAGTTCCTGGACCTGTTCCCCTAGAATCTATCCAAGGAGGACCCTTTGAAGAAAAGATCTATGTTCAGTGGAAGCCTCCAAATGAGACCAATGGTATCATTACACTCTATGAGGTAAGGAGAACAGATTGCTGTGAAAGAGTATCTACCAGAGGACCTGTTCCATGTGTGCGCAAGTGTATTGGTCAGCATAGCCATGATGTTTCAGAGATTTCAGTAGGAGTTTAAAGGAGACTTAAATAAAATAGGTGAGAATCTTCATGGTACCTTGCTGCTGCCACTGAAATGTGTGATCTAGTAAATAGCTCTACTTTAAATCATGTCCAAATGTGACCCTTAACTATCTCCATTGCCCCACATCCAGGTCATCGCAAATTCTGCCATTTATTCCTCCACAGCATTTCCAAGATATACTTTCCATCCTTTCTGCCCCTAGAGCTATAATGCTTTCAGGCTTTCATTATCTCCCATCTTGAATACTGCAGCCACTTCCTTTCTCTGCCATATAGTTTCCTTCCGCTTTTCACAAAATGCAGCCAATAAGCACCTTCCTTATTAAGTACTCTCACTCTGTCAGCCCCCTCATGGAATTTGGTTTAATCCATATGCCTAATAAAAATGTGTTATCCAAAGCTTTAGCTATGTCTTCATAATACAATCTTCACTCTGATAGCTTCACTTGTGTGGTATACCTATCCTTTGTCTTCAGGGGGTAAACCTGTTTTGGGAGGGGATATGCGTCTTTTGTTTGTGCTGTGCCTAGCATAATGGGTAGGAACCTATCAAAGGATGTATGCCATTAATCTGAAATCTGGTTCCTCATCTGTAAAGTGATGGAACATCCTATGACAGAAATAACAATATTCTGCAATATCTTGGACAAACCTTACTGAAATCTTACTGAATTGGTTTAGACCTTATTGAAATGAGTTTCATGCCTTTGGGGTCCATTTTATTAAAAATCAATTGTTTATTATGGTGAGATTGTATGTAAATTCTCTAGGAGGAGCAGGTATGCTAATGTAATTCCTCCAGTTATCAGCCCTTTGAAGCCATCTCTGGAGAGTTTTGCATATACTAGTTCAAACTGGATTCTCCAGGGACCAACAGACAAAGAGAGGATTTTTTGATAAATAGCCTGGTTTTCAATATGCTCAGGGCTTTTTGTTCTGATCCAGCAAATCATCAGGAGGTCCACAGAGAACCCCAATCCTTAAGGAAGGGTTGGGAGCACTGATGCTGACCTTGTGGAGATTGGGTAGGAGGTGGGAATTATTCTCTGGTAAGATTATTGGCATAATTGTAGGTTCCTTTTATTGTTTTAAATATGTTTTTTTCCTGTAGTTTGTTTATCTCCAGAATAAAATATGTTTCCTGAGAGAGAACTGTGTGCTAACTTATAACTGAGGGAAGTTATGCTATTATTAGTCTTGCTGGGAATAACACGCTGAAGGCAGGGGACTGTTCAACCTGGAAATATCTCAGTCAGAAGGGAGAGAGACAATGATTTTCCACCCAGAGGGATGATGATGGGGAGGGATCCTGAAAGTGGGTGCCCTTGGTGTCATGAAGGGGAAATATAGATGCAGTTTATGTGGAGAGTGACATATCTTTTCCAGAAGTTCTGTGAAAGATGCACTCAGAGTATGGATTTTGAAAGTTAGGCACACAGATGGAGTAAATGTGCAAATGATCAGAATTGTCCATTTGTACATGCAATTGCTCAGTTTGTGCATTCATTCATATTAATCACATGCGCAAATTAAGGGACAGATTCCTGAATCTTGTCGAGCTTCATTAAGCCATCTTTCCATTCTACCAGTCCTGGAACCAGCCAGGGACTGTTGCAGCCTTTAGCATTATTTAGAGCAGCATATAAACTGTTCTGTGCTATAAAGGCCAGACTGAACCCTTAGGGACTGTATTACGCTGTAGCTATACCGCTTCCTATCCAGGAATGCCCTGTTAGAGCAGATCTCTCTGCCTAAGAGAGCAGGATCTGATCTTCTTTGGTATGAGGTTGTGCACCTAACCTGTTTGAAAGAAGGCAACTGTGTAACAGACTCTGAACTGACAATCTCATGACTTAAAGGGTTAACCTGTGAGCAGACACTGCACTGGATGAATGTACTAATTGTCACCTTTTGGAGCCCATAAGGCAAGAGACAGGAACAATTTACAAAATAGTATCAGTAAGGCAATTTAGTAAAAAGGAGGAGCTAACAGCATTCGGCTTGTTAAGGTACAGTCCAGAGCTGACTTTCAAGCCCTGTGATATCCCCTGCTGCAATCCCACCTGCTTTTGGGAAACTAGAAATGTGAGGTGGGATCCCAGCTTTCACTTAAAAAAAAAAGAGCGTAAAGCCTCTTTCCTTGCGAAGGTAGCTTTTGAAGGCCTAAACGGATCTAAAACAATTGTTAGGGTTGCAAAGAACAATGGTGGTCTCCATTTCTGCTGCAGGATGTTGAGTGAGCTAAAGAATGAGCACATAGTTTATATAAATAAATCTGTGTTGATGGGTATATCAGAAAGAATTATCCTTCTTATTACTCTAAAATCTTGCTGACTCTCTTCAGAGTGGGGTGATATAGAGGGACGGGAACCATTTACAGTTTGGTTTCTTTTTTCGCAGTGGAAGAGCACACAAAATTATTTTGGGGGTAAGCATGCAGATGGTAAACTGTTACACAGCCCAACAGAGTCTATGAAGATTTCCCTTCCATAACATTCCCACTTCCCGTCAGTTCTGACCAGCAGACCACCTGCTCTCTCGTCCTAATGGACCCCTTGGGAGGCAGTGCCAGTGATGTCAAACAGGGTTTGTTTTTAGAGTGAACAAACAAAGACTAGTTTGAGACCACCAAACTCTTATACATTGCAGCCAAAGTAAGTTCTGTAGTCTGCTGGGCTTAAATGTGAATTCATAAACTATTACATCATCTTGCCTCATGTCTATTAGAAATGTAGATTGAGTTGATACAGTAAAAAGACTGCATATGAAAGATGTTCCTCTTGATAAATGTGTGCCATTTCAGCCAGGTCTGTAACTATAGTAATGCTACCAGATGCCTCTATAATAAAAGCAGATTTCAGATGGCTGGGTGTTACAGGGAGGTTAATGCACTAAGCCTTTCACATCTGGAAACTTGATTTTTAGAAGTGACCTGGGTCAAAAAAGAAATTGAGTTTGGTGGCTTCCGCCTAATCTCTGGTGGGGGGTTGTGTATATTGCCAAACTCCTTCACAATTCTCTATGACTAACAATCTCCATTCAGGGAAAGTCCTAGACTAAAATAAGCAATAGGGTTGTAGATGACAATTGAGACACATTGGCAAAACTATGGGGGCTGGGCAAGATTTCACCTCACCTGTCTAGACTGTAGCTGGATCTAGCCAGTTTATTATCCCCTTTTTGAGCTCCAAATGCACCTTTTGAAAGGTACACTACAAGGTCTTACATGCACACAGATAACAAATTATATAACAGCCCTTGTATATGCTGCTGAGGAACTGCCCTGGATGGTATAAGTTGCAAATTAATTATTTTCTGAGAACACAAATGACTTATAGGAAAGTGAATATAAAAATAAATTGGGGAGTGTAAATGATTAAAAAAACCCTCCTTTTAATTCTTAAAGAGACTTGCTGCTAAACATGACCTGTGGGCACAGGTCATTGAAAGGACCTTATTAATCTGAGTTGCTTTTCTGACTGAGCAACTGCGTAGAGAGCGGTGATGCATCATAACAGTGACTTTGCCTCTTAAGTCAGATCAGTTCTTGAATCTCATTGGAGGTGTGCATACACAAATTTCCCTTCCTGATAATGACTCAATGCACATTTGATGGCTGCACCAGTAGGGGGGGGTCAAGGTGAATTCCAACTGTTCCTCTTCCTCTATTCTCTTCAATAAAGAGGAAACCTAAGCACTAAAACAACCAGAGAATTAAAATGGAACACACAAACATCTCTCTAAGCAGAGATGCTTCCTACTGGGTATGGGGAAATTTGCAAACTGACATGGAGGTATTACCTCAGATAGCCTCATCCTCCATAGCCCTCCAAGACAAGTACTCGCAGCATGAATGATGCAGTTGGAGCCAGCATGGTATAGCTATTCAGGTGTGCTTAGTTTAGTGAGGTGGTTAGTATATTCTCAACTGTAGATTTCAAGTCATGGAACTCCATAACACAAGAGATCAATCTAAACCCAGGGCTCTCTGTGTTTAGAGTGAAAGTGGAGATACATCCTTTTGACAGTGCCTATTTAAATAAAGCACAGTTCTTGGCACATATAGATATATGCCTCACCTTACTGCCTGAGGGAATTGGGTAGCAATTGAACTCTATGCTCCCTAATTGTTTAGTGCCTTTGTGCAAAGGTACCTCTCACTTATGCATCATCTAAGATGGATAGATCTGCTTAATCTCAAGTTCAGCTGTATGGGTAGTTAGTACCCATGAGTTTTGTCTACGGTGGTATTTATCTTTAAAATTTCACATCACGAGTGTAGCACTAGTGTAGTTCCATCAGTACTAGCAATAGATGAAGTGCTATTTTAGGCAGAATTCAGGCATCTTTACCACAGCATTATCTTGACCTGCTCTCAATGGATTCTGCTGACGTCTTGGTTAAAATGTCAGTGGCTGGTCTGTGCTGCTACTTCTTTTGTTTCCTGTCACCAGTGGCCTGCACTAGCAGTATTGCAGTGGTGGGAGGTTTTAAAGAAATACGGCCAATAAAGAAAACATCCCTAATCTATGAACTAGAGTGGTTGTGTTTTTAAGAACAAGAAGCACCTTTCCTAAAAATAGCACCTATTATAAATAAATAAGTTGGGTATCCCACTAACATTCCATTTACTTTACCTCAAGGCAGATTTTTCACATTAAGCCTCTCTATTATTCTCACAATTGTCTGGCAGACAGGTGTCCACATCTCACAAATTGCCATCACAATTTGCACATGCAGATTTCACATGAAGAACTGGGTTAAAATGCAGCAGCAAAATCTTCAGTAAGCAATTTGTTTAGCAGTCAAAAATCACTAAGTTTGTAATGACTATGTATAACTCGAAAGAGCTTAAACAGAATGAAAGGACCATAATGAGCC